AAAATAGCCAAATAGACTTGAATGATACAGTAAGAGACAAAGAGAATATACTTTGAGCTTTGACAAGCAGGAAAGCTCAGATTCTGCACCAAATGCAAAGTTAGTAGTCATATTAACTGCCGGAAAATGTAGCCACAAAATAAGTTTCAAGATATAACAATAGTAATCCCAGCAATTATAGTGCGTCTATAGTATAGGTGAAATTTTATAGGTACATGCGGCTATGAAATCGCCAATTTGTTAACGCTAGGCTTTATGCGGTAAATAGGGCAAAAACGACTGAAACTTCCAAGGTTAGCGACACCATCTTATCAAGTGGGGCAAACATAATACTGAAAACAATATATTCAAGATGGCGTCCCTATTTACAACCAACGGTGTGTATAAATTCTAGCTGGTCGAGATCTGATAACAAAGAATAGTAAATCAAGAAGTTCAATGCCTTCAAGGCAACTAAATGTAAAAGTACACTACACAGTCCGCAAATTTCGAATGATTCGTGTAAATAAATGCAAAATATATTTGTGATTGTCTGGCGAGTGCGAGTCACATGTATTAATTAACTCATTAAGTCTCATTGCGCCCCCATGCGCCCTGGAATTGGGAACGGGGTAAGTCTCATTGCGCCCTCATGCGCCCTGGATGACACGTCAACTTCCGGGCACGATTGTCTAGCGCGTATTTATCGGGTTGCCTAGCAACGGTCACGAGTATAAAGTGCAAAATTCGGGCTTTCAAACGATACATCATGCGAGAAAATTGATCAAAAGTTTGCGAAGATTTTCGATTTTAAAACTCTATTTTTTTACAAAACCTGTGACAACCGCAAAGTGTCACAAGATAGGACTTTGCAGCAAGTTTTAAGGATGAAAAAGAAGAGGTTTTTAAAGAGTTTTACATATAAAATATATTGTAAAACATAAGGGAGTGTGCATATGTTTCAAGTCAAGTTCTTGTCCAAATCAAGTCGCGCGATTTTCAGCCAGAAAAACAGCAATTTCTTTCAATCTAACGGAAAAGTGAAGTGGGAAATCGCAAGAAACATGAACACTAAATCCAAGTGAGTAGTTACGATTTTTTTGAGCGTGTTTTTGAATGAAAATACCTGGCATGTTTTCATGAAATACGATATAGCATTAAAGCAAGTTCAATCTAGTTTAAAACTAAGTTTTTAGAAGAACTTTTCGTGCATTTTATGGCATGATTTCGACTGTTTTCGTGACCCTACTGTTGGTCGTCTTGCTCAAGTTGTTATTTTAGCCGAAGTACTTTCAGAAGACAGTAGGTTCAACTTGTCATGTGCGTATATACATTTTTGGCAAGAAAAATTTCGAGTAAAACCGCATTAAAACTAAGTAGAATACTCTACAATGAATACTATATCTGTTTCTATAAACTTTGTCTCGCAACGAGCTCTCATTTCAGAGATAATGTGGTTTAAAATCAGTGTATTGAATTATGCCGTTACTTGGCGCGTGCGAATTCTGAACCTTCATGACAGGGATTTGAAAAGCTTCTAAAATACACTTCATTGCTCCATATATCACCATAAAATTTTTAAATCAATAAAGCACATCATAAAACTAATGTACGCTCATTTTCTAAGAAATACTCATCGATTACCTGAAGGAAAAGTTTAAAATAGGTCAGGAGAGAATGCCGTTCTCCTCTGAAATGGCTTCTTTTGCGGGAAGCCATTAAATTTATGTACTTTCCAAAATTGTAATTTAGTCGCTTTTTTGGTCTCATTGTTCACTTATTTATCATGGAATTACTTCGCTTGAGCTCTTTTAATAATATCTGCAAGATACTTTGCTATTTGGTGAAATAAAAGCTATATTTTTAGCAGTTTATCTTTTGAAAACTGCATGCGCAACAAAGTGTCACCAATGTGTTTACTCTCGTCTGACAAACAACCAAAGATGAAATACTTTATTTCACTCTTTTATAGCAATCTAAAATGCCTAAATATTAGATTATTCATTTTATTTGAGCATACATATTATATTTTTATACAATTGGTCCTTGAAAAGGACTTATTTCAAGCTAGAGTCAGATTTCAAACTAGAGTCAGATTTCAAAAGAAACCGCCTGTCTGACATTTTACAGCAACCTACATTCGCGCGCACAACGTTTTAGCCACAAATCCGTTGTTTTCTCAACAGAAACAAAAGGAATTTCAGTTAAAATTCTTACCTGATGAATATTCAAAAGTGTTTATCTGTTTTTGACGACTTTCAGTGCTCTTAATAGCGAAATAAAAAGCCTTTTGTTTTGTCACCGCACGCTGCGTTTGAAAATGCCGGCTGTCAAAGTCAGAATTGAAAACACCTCAAATATTTTAAAATTTTCTCACCTTTTTCATCCTTTATTTATATTTTAATTAGTAATTTTTGTACTTCGTGTTTTTCCAAACATATTTGAGCTATTTAAAAACTTCAAAGAGGTACAAACACTGTGTTTTTGGGTTACAGAGTTTTTGGACTTGAACAACAAGTTCTGAAGTTCAAGTTCTCCATTGTAAACTAGATGTCCTGAGTGTGCCTGAGCTATGCCCAAGCAAATTTTTATAGCGTTTCATTATTTTGTAATTTATACCCTACAAGATGAAAACTAATTTGAAAATAAATGTGTACCAATCCAGGAATCAAAAAATATTTCTCCATTTATGTTGGGTTATTGAATTATTGCCCTTCAGATGTTGGGTGTCATGAAGAAACAAAATGTCAGAGACTTAAATTTACACAAACCAAGAATTCTCACCCAAAAATCTAATGATATATTTAAGTGTGGGAGCTCATTTGAAATAGAATTGATTAATCATTTATCATTTTAACCCACTGCAAAGTTTCAAGGTTTTTTATAACATTGATCTTGAAATATGGATATTTTTGTAAAAGCAGTTGACAGTAACTAAAATTCGCCATTTTCCTTGCAACTTGGGGAGTGTCAATGTTGCAACAGTCTGCAACTTAATGAGTTAAAAATAATTCACGACAAATATCTTAATCTGAAAAAATATTAAAATGTTATATCAATATATATATATATGGCTACACTACTGATACAAAATATCATAAGTATCACTTACGTTTAAGTAGAAGAAATATAGGAGAGTCAAGGAAAGTCCAAGTATTAAAATCTTCAATCTAGTTTTATATCTTGCCCACGAGATGCCGACGCGCAGCTTAAATTATTCGCATATATGCAATGAAGGATCAAATTATATATTCATATCAAATTTCGCAGACGTCCGACTTTTTTTAGCCAATTAAAATCGAGTATTTTTGATCCGCGAAAACCGCGAAACTCATGTGTCTATAATATTAGTGACTTCGCACATAGTCCACATGTCATTTGGATTTTGCCAAAATTTTGCCTTTTTGGTGACTATATAGGGATTTAGTCAATGACAATTAATGCAACTGAAACAAATAACTGATGTAACATTCCATGAGTTTTAACTTTAAAACCATATAAAATTTAAAGTTTATCACCACCCGGCGATGGCTGATAAACCGTTCAATTACCAATTCAAACTTGAATTTAATAACATCAACAAAACATTCTCCATATATTGTCATTGAATTCAATATGAACGTTAATTTTAATAGTACGTCAAACCTTTACAGAACGTCACGACGACGTTTTCTTGTAATTAAAATTTCACGTTATTACGAAACAATATCACAACGTCATTACAACGTTGCTGATCAAGCGTTCTTGTCACGTTGCATTCATGTGTAAGTAAAAGTTTTTACAACGTTAGTATTCAAACTTTCTAGCCACGTTGTATTCATACGTAATTAAAACGTTTTCACAACATTAGTATTCAAACGACAACGAAGACAAGGTTGTCAAAAGGTTGTCACAATGTTAGGTCCGACCTAACCAAATTACAACCTTCCAAAAACGTTTTTACAACGTTATGTGTTAGCTGGGTTGTCTTTGACCAAGCATATGCCTTTTTAAACAAAAACAACCTTTTATCTGACATACAGTCAGGATTTAGACCTCTTCACTCAACCTAATATTGCTATCTCCGGAAACAAAATTGAAAGAGTTAGATCTTATAAGTGTTTAGGTTTAAAACTGGATGAGAGTTTGACATGGGAGCATCATGTTTCTACTATAATCTCCAAAGTCTCCAAGGTGATTGGAGTTCTATGAAGACTAAAACCATTGCTCCCACAGTAAACTTTTGTCATGATCTATGACTCTTTAGCACAGCCATACTTTGATTATTGTAGTATTGTCTGGGATAGCCTAGGTAAGGGTCTTGGACAAAAGTTACAGCGATTACAGAATAGGGCTGCAAGAATTATTACTGAATCTGATTATAACATCCGGTCATCAGATATTTTAACATCATTGAATTGGACCCAGGGATGCCGGAAGATCGATAATTGGGGGGGGGGCAGATATTCATATATTCGTGTTCACAGACTGTAAAAACAATCGATTTCAAAAGAAATTAATTGGGCAGAACACGAATATATGAATATCTGCCCCCCCAATTATCGATCTTCCGGCGTCCCTGATTGGACCAACCTTTGAAACCACACGTACCCAACAGTTCAAAACTTTTATGTACAAAACTGTTAAAAATATGGTTCCTAGTTACTTGTCTGGAAAATTTACTTCCATGTCAATGATACACGAACATAGTTTGCGTGGATCTAATCATAAACTTTTTGTACCAAGACCCTTAACAGAATCCTTGAAGAAAAGTTTTTCCTATCGAGGAGCTACCCTATGGAATGACATACTTGTCGAACTCACTAGAGTTCAATCTCTCACTGAGTTTAAATCTAAAATATCTTAATATTTCTTTTATATTAGTTTCTTTGCATGTATAGTTTGTTACTTTTGTAAATAGTTTGATACCTTTTTATTGGTAATTAGTCCACTAGTACAGGTACACGTCTCCATTGAAGAGCACATGATAACATAACCTGTGAAATGGACCTTGTGTTTTAAATAAAGAGGTCACTTGTCAGAAACATACTGTTACCATGACAACACTACAAATCCGATAATGTTCCAATTACATCACTGATGACATACTCCAATTACATCACTGATGACATACTACTATTGATAACTTACGCATGTTGAGGAGGAAATCAATTATTTTTCAAAAATCATATTATTTACTGTATAAACACTAGTTTATCAATGAAAGATAGAATGGACTGCTTGCTCATTTACTGGTAACAGGAGTTCTTTCAGTTTATTGTCCAAGCTATTCCACAGTCTAACAGCTCTAAACCAAAAACTCCTGACCCGATAAAGTTTTGCGCAAGGGAATATGCAGTAACTGCCCATTTCTGGTCACCCGGTTATGGAGTTCCACACATTTGTTAAATAGCTCACATAGATATGGCGGAGCGAGTCCATTCATGCACTATTTCTACATACTGTCTCATAACTCTTTATCGTTTGGCGATAAATTTCAAATTTTTCATTCAATTGCTTCCCATGTAAATATCTCCAATGAGTATTTACCCCCCTTTAAAATGGAAACTGCCGTTGAAATCCTCATAAAAATAACCTTTCATAACATTACACAAACCAAAACAATCATGCATTTTACTCACCGCTTTGCCAAATATTCTGTCTTGAATATCTCTTGAACTCCTAGGAATTCCCCACAAGTCAATCTGAGTGAAATACTCCTTGTATTCAAGCGCTTTCGTGTGGAAAATTTCGTTTGAATACAGCCAGTAGAAATATACTTATTTTGAATTTTTCAGAATATCATATTTTACCGCTTTTTTTCGTGCTTGCCACATGCTAAAATTGGCTAATAAGGAGCACCTGTAGCCAGATGCACGTGCAAATCACGTTGCATGTGTAATTTGACCTTTAGAATCAATTTCACATGTTTCCCGAGCGATAGGATTTAAACAATACAATGTTTTGGCAGATCTAAAGTGTATTTTTGGTCGAACTGTCGTCAAAGCTCTCGGGTAAAATTTAAATATTTTGAAATCCGAAATAAGACACAAATCTGTTGATACAAGCTTGAAAATAACACTCTAAATAGTGTTTTGGTATGCCTTTGTGATACATGTTATTACTTTCTTACATTTTTCAGGAAGATTGTGTATAATAATATACTTGCCCTCTTAAGGTCGTAAATCGCTATAATGTTGACATTTTATTATATCTATCGATAGGAATTTTTTCACTGAATCGAATGGTGTTATTTTTATCTATATAGCATGCACTGAACCTAAGATATATGAACCTGCAAAATACCAGGTTGGTTTCGACAGAGTAAAATAGTAAAGTAGGGCACATTAGGGTGCATAGGCACTTAAATAAGAGTTAAATTATATTATTTGAGAAATATGAATAAAATTTACCATTTAATTCAACAATCAATTTAAACAACACAACTATTACTGTTGATACCTAATTCAATTTAGGTGTCCTTTATAACGAGTAGTTTTAAAATAAAATTTCATTATTAAATATATTTCCCTTACCAAACTGACAGATATGTGGCAGATATATGTCACAGCTCTGTAAAATATCTGCAAAATATATGTACGAAAGTATGTGTCACATATCTGCAACATATAGGAATTTGGCCCCATAACATATCTGTCACAGTTATGTGACAGATATCTGTCACATATCTGCAACATATAGGAATTTGGCCCAATAACATATCTGTCAAGTTATGTGACAGTATAGTTTCCCTACAGATAAAATTATCTGTATATTATCTACCAAGCAGATATGTCGCATAACTGCCACCAAGTGAGTTTTATTTCTTGCATAAAACTATTTCCTCTTACTTCTGTAACATCAAGTTGCTGCAACTGTGCCTCTGTCATGTTCACTTGAAGCCGTAATAATTTAATATAAAGAAATACTAGATCAGAATATTAAATGTATTTATTAGTAAATATATAATTATAGGTTACACATATAATTATGCACTGTACAATCAAATTTTCTCCAGGGGCCAGTTGTTCAAGGCTGGATTAGCTTAACCCTAGGTTAACCTGAGAGCTTGTATATAAATGTGGAAATATTTCTTCAGAGATCTTGTCTGGATCGATACGAGTTTTCTTCTCTGAAGTTTAAAATAAACAGATGTGTGCAGTAGAAATACAAACTAAAACAGCAGGCTAAATTTTAACCCAGGGTTGGCACTAGTCCAGCATTGAACAACTGGCCCCTGGGGCAGAGTAATTACACTTTATACTATTATAACCTACACTTATTTAAAATTTCCTAATATTATAATTTTATTTATATACATGGCCAGAAATAAATAATGAGTACCTAAAAGTCATTAATATTTAATGTCAAGTCTCACTCAGCTGGTTTACTTTTAGTTACTCCCCTTTGAGCCCCACAGCATTTGTCCTGTACCTTGTACTGCATAGCAGCTGTCTTTCCATAGACTGTATCATCCAGACCAAAAGCTGAAAAAAATAGGAATTGATAAAATCAGATTTATTTAATATGTTTTAGATATTTAATTGGCATTGAGACAGCAAGAATAATCTAGATAGTGTTAGGCCAAATAGAGGATTCTCTTATGGTAGCCATGTCTAATGGGTTACCAAATATATATTGGCTTAATTAACCATCTACTAGGTTACATTTGATTTAATACTATTTTTGTAAAGTATATTTACACGAGACATTAGGGCTTACTAATGAGTTAGGCAAAAAAAAACACCAACCCTAATCTTTTTATATGAGATATTATTTTTGCATATGAGAAATAGAAACCCAGGCATTTCTTTTTTGGACTTAGTATGAAGCATGGAAATATACTTAAAATTGTTTGGTATCAGACAGAGTAAATTAACAAGACAGCGTACATTAATTTAACAAGACAGGGCACATTAGGCCAAATTGCAGGTCAATGGGTCCAGCTACAGCCCCTCCCCCTGCATTATTGCAGGCCTATGGACAGCTCTACCTGTACCATACTGTAATGACTTATTCATGACAGAAAATTGGCTATTGCACACTGACCCTTCATACTTCTGGCATAATTTAGATTATTAAAGCACAAAACTACTAAAGCCCTGGGGCCGGTTGTTCAAAGCTGGGTTACAGTAGCTTAAGCCTAGGTTAACCTAAAATTCAATCCAAACTTCCTGACAGCTTGTCTATAAATTTGAAAATATTTCTTCAGATATCTTGTCTGGATCGATAGGAGTTTTTTTTTAAGTTTTGAAACAGACTTGTAGAAATACACGAACTAAAACAGCAGGTTAAATTTAACCCAGGGTTAGCGCTAACCCACCTTTGAACAACTGGCCCCTGTTGTACACTATGCTCAATTTTTGGTACGGCACAGATAAAACTGGTGTCTGTACCAAATTTATCTGTGCTTGGCCTGTATGAATAGGTAGTCCAAGCATGGTAAACATGTTACAGGTACCAAAATTGAGCACAGTGTCAGTGTTAACTGTCATGGACTCTTACACTAAGTAAACATTGCAATGTACATTGAAATCGCGGGTGCGTCTCGTCCGCCAAAATGGTTATCAACATTACGACCACATGTTTAGTAGTTTTATGTTTTCATTAAAGACTGATAAAATACGTCGATTGTAGTCGATTTTCTCCTGCTCAATACACATATCGAACCCCGCTTTACACACAACATTTGGTGCCGTGACCAGGATGGAGGAAATAGCACGACCACAAGCGTCTCGAAGAGGGCATAAATCTCATCTATCAAAAGTGTTAAATAAAGCGAGCGAAATCCTCAAAGTAGAGCCTTCGAAAGCAGATGAAATAGCGCTGACAACACTTAAAACTCCCCTGGAACAACTAACAAGGAAACAGCAATTAGTACGAGAACTAGACGAAAAGATTGCAGCAAAAATCACTGATCCCAAGCAACTAGAAACAGAAATATACGAATCTGAAGAGCTAAGCTGCGATTTGGAAGAAAAATTGAATCACATACGTAAGTACATTGAGTTATGTTCATTGTCGAGTCAATCAAATCAGTTTACACAAGGAAGTCAGGCATCTACTTCAACTCAGTCACTTGAAACACAAGTCACAACACAAGAAATTCAAGAATCGCCATCTCAAGTAATCAATTCAAGTGATGTGTTAAATGAGCCTGGGGACCCCCCACCTACACAACAAAATCTGCCGACTGACAATATATTAACATTACCACCTAGTCCTCAGCCATCAACTGCTAGTATTCCACCACAAAATATTTGTCGTCTACCAAAGCTAAGTCTTCCTGTGTTTGTGGGTAACACCCTTCAGTGGCAGTCATTCTGGGATTCATTTGATGCAGCAGTACACAACAATCCGTCATTAAATGGCATACAAAGATTCAATTACTTGAAAGCACAACTTGTGGGAGAAGCACTACAAACTATAGCAGGATTTCCCCTCACTAACAGTAACTATGACCAAGCCATTAAGCTCCTTAAAGATAGATTTGGACAACCTGACAAGATCGTAAATGCACACATGCAGGCTCTCTCAGAAATTCCCCCACCAAGTGAACATCTGGATAGTTTTCGAAGCTTCTATGACATCTTGGAAACCCACATTCGAGGACTTGCATGTCTTGGAAAAAGCCAAGAATCATACGGTGACCTATTAATTCCAATTGTACTTGGGAAACTACCAACAGAATTCAGAAAAAATTTAGCTCGGGAGCATGGGACTCTAGACTGCACAATTGACCTGCTTAGAAATGCTATATGCAAGGAATTGAGAATTCTAGAAGCAGGGCAATTTACTAACTCGAGCACAAGAGAAAACCAAGCAACATCATCAGTTACATCA